AAATTCAGCTTAGGGGAGCCCCAAACTGCTCTGCCTCAGAATCATGTGGTAGGACATTTAAAGTTTCAGATTCCCAGGCTTACACCAGATCTACAGAATGGGAGCATTCAATGTGTGTGTGTGTGTGTGTGTGTGTGTGTGTGTGTGTGTGTGTGTATGTGTGTGTGTGGTGGGGATGTTGGAAAATGATGCTCCCAAAGTTTTTGAGGCACTTTAACTATTCAGGCTCATATATTATCATGATTTAAGAACAGGGACCTAGGATGAGGAATAATACTGGTGTTCAAAGTCAAAGTGAAAGAGCTCAGTCAAAAAGTGTATTCAGAAGAAGGGCAGAAAGTGCTGCCGCAGCTTGTGTCAGTCAGGAGCTTGTGAATCCTGCTCATCTGTGACCCCTCTGTGCTCCGTGGTACTCTCTGTGTGTTTGTATCACAATTCTTCCCACACAGTGTTGACATTATGTCTTAAGTTTATATTTCTTACTCAGCCTTGAGATTCATAAAGGAGACTCAGACTGCAGATTTCATCCTCATATCCCTACTATCTGTTCATGGCAAGGATAAAATAAATGTTGTTAAAATAAATTGTTCCCACCTGTGGTGGTGCATGTTTGTAATCACAGCAACTCAAGAGGCTGAGGCAGGAGGATCACAAGTTAGAGCCAGCCTTAGCAACTTAACAAGACCCTAAGCAACTTACAAGACCCTGTCTCAAAATAAAGAATAAAAAGAGCTGGGGATGTGGTTTAGTGGGTAAGCACCCCTAGGTTGCTGGTACCAACACACACACACACACACACACACACACACACACTTATTTAAATGGAAATCAAGAAAAGAGAGAGTGAATAATCAGTAGGCTATTTGGTTGCACATACTCAATTTGAATTAGAAATAAGAAAAGAGAGAGAGGTTGGGGGTATAGCACTTGTGTAGCATGCATAAGACCCTGTGCTTGATCTGTAGCACCATAAAAGAAGCCAAAATAAAAAAGAAAAGAAAGAAACAAAATTCAGTATAAGGCCTATAGCATAGTTCATGTATCTTACAGAACTCAACCGTGGACCTTAGGTGGAAACTAGACCAAGAAGCTAAAGGCCACCAGGAATTCCATCTCTTCTGCTCTTGTACATTTTCTTCAGTAATTTCTTTCCCCAAACCAGATTTCTCTGCACCTCTGGCCTTCAGGATTTATATTTTATAGCTCCCATCTCCTACTGAGTATAATTTCCTGTCCTAACTCTACAATCCTGGTCCAGCATGAGTCCAGTGTCCAAACCAGATCTAGGTGTCCATGACCAGGCTTCAGGCACAAGTGAGAAGAATTACTGCAAGAGACCCAGCTCTGTGTACTGGGAGCACAGAGGAGGAGTTAGACATCTCTACAATTACCTGTCACATTTGGCAGAGTCAGACATGTAATCTGAACAAGAGAAGCTGATGATGTGTCAGAAGTTAGCACTGGTGTAGGGACTCTGTCTCAAATAGCTGTTTTCACATACTTTCCCTTGGACGCAGAATTGCAGGGCACGACACTGGCATCAGCTTGCCTACAATAGACTGGGCAGTATATGGATCTCAGGTGGCTCATTTATCAGCTGTGTGATATGGACATGTTCCTTGCCCTTTCTATGCCCCATTTTTTACATCTGTGAGTCTAATAATAATTTCTAACCTACTTACACAATAAGATTATTTTGACGCAGTAAACAAAATAATACATATAAAGCAAGCAGGACAGTGTTTCGTCCTTTTGGCTAAAACCATGTTAAATACTATTGTTATTGTCATTTTAATATGATCCTAAAACTAACAGATACTGAGGCTCTTTGTGGAGTTTGTCTCTTTTTAAGATAAAAGTTTTAGGGTTTCCAAATATCTCAAGATTTGATTTCTTTTCAAGGCTTTGATTTAACTTAACTCCAGTTGATTGAACATTCCATTGGATGTCACTTCAGACTCAAGGGAATCAAAACCCATCCATGATTTTTTTTTCCTTAAAATCACTTTTCAAATTCTTCCACTTGCTGTTTTAATAGCACAAACTTTTCCTCAAAACTGGATAAGAAACCAGGAATGATGGAGAATTAGTTTCCAGAGGATCTGTAGTCACTTGATTTGGGCATATCTTTGACTTCTCTGTTTCTAACCCTTGGTCTCACCATTCTTCAGGTTCTATTTATCTTTTTCATGTAACTTCAGGAGAAATAATAAGCATTTATAGGGACTTAGGAAGTGCCAGAGAGATTCTAAGCACGCTTATAGGTGTTAGTTAATTTAGTTGTCATAACAGCCCAATGGGACACATACTATTATCATTCCTGTTTACAAATATGGAAACCAAGACATCAGAAGTGAAATGACTTTCTAAGGGCACCTGCTAGTGGACAGCAGTGAGCAGGCAGCCTCACCACAGAGCCCTTACTCCTGGGCCCTAAGTCACATTGTTGCTTTTGATGAACCTTGAATCTCTTTCCATTACCTCACCACAACTTGAGCAGTGACTCACATGACTTCACAGCCGTAATAAATAGATTGCTTCTTATGCCCTTAGATTGTGCTCCTTATAATACAACATGCAGGTTGTTATGAGATTGCTTTTAAACACTGCTTCTACCATGTCATTACTTTGTTCAAAAATCTTTCTGGGCTCCCTGTAGCCTGTGATGTATGAAATAAATTCCATTCCTGGTTTGTTTGTTTTGGTGCCAGGGACTGAACCCAGGGCCTTGCACATGCTAGACAAAGGCTCTACCCGCTGAGCTACACTCCCGGCCCCCTCATCCCTGTTTGTTTGTTTGTTTTGGGCTGTATGTAATCTGGTCCCACACCTTCTACTCAGTTTTATTTTGCTATCTTCCTACCCTATTATCCATCACCTCAGTCACGTTGCTCTTTTCACCAACCCCATAAACACATACACACTCCCGCCTCTGTGACTTTATTCATTTCTCCAGGTCTAAACTTTACTTGTCCATCTAAAATATTGTGGCTCTATGAATCTTTCCTTGACAGAATGTGGCCTTTTCTTCCCTGTGACTCTCCTAACACGGACTTTGAACCCTTCCTGTGATATCATATTCTGCTTTTTATTGTAATTAGTTGTGTAATTTTTTCTTTTCTCTCCGTGTTGGCTTGTTGAAGACAGAAAGTGATGCTCAGCAGTGCCTTTTTTCACATGGAGCTCATAGCAAATGGTCAATAAATAGTGATAATCAGTATAATGGAATTCTTGTTTTATTAATCCAGAATGTTTCTCTTTTCCCTTTTTGTTCCAGTCTTTTACAAAAACCTAACTCTCAAACGAAGCTTTCTTGACTTTTCTAGTCTTTGAAGAGAAATGTACATTTTCAGACATCTCATAATACTGAGGTTTGTTACCACATCTTGGTCTATTCCTGTGGCTATAACAAAATACCTTAGGCTGGGTAACTTATACACAACAGAAATTTTCTTCTAGATCTGGAGGCTGGGAAGTCTAAGATCAAGGCCCTGGCAGATTTTGTATCTGATTGCTTTGCTTACAACATGACGTTTTCTTGCTGTGTCTTCACATAGTGGAAGATGGTTAAGAGGAGGAACACTGTGTGCCAACTTTGCAGAAGAGATGACCAGAAGGCTTTCTGGATCCTTTTTCATGACAGTGTTACTTCCATTCACGAGGGTGAAGGGTGAAGCCCTCATGGCTTAATCACTTCCCAATAGGCCCCACTTCTTAAAACTGTCATTGGGAATTCTGAACACAGATTTTGGAGGAGCACAAACATTCAAACTATAGCAACATAAAATATAGTACTTTGTTAATTGTTTTACATGGCGTGTTCTTGGTTCAAGTATTGCTACACATAGCCTGGTATATAGAGATTCTCAAGAAATATTTATTCAAAGAATCAATATGTCAGTCTTGCTAACTAATTATAAGGTCTCTAAGATAGGATCATGCCTAATGTACATTCCCCATATCCTCAGAGCTCGCCTCATACAATATTCACTTACTGCGTGGCTCTTGGATTTCCATTGCAAATCTGTCCTTCGTTTGCTGATGCTCTGTTCTTAGTGTGATGACTCTGAAGAGGCCTCTGCGTTCTCTGGCTTAATTTCTCCACTTAGCACAGGCAAGGGCAGGTTGCTGATAACAGAGATCTTTTTCCCAATTCCTTTTAAAGTCCTGTCCTCAATTCTGGACCAACCTTTCTTACAGTGACAAACTCCTACAACACATGGTGCAAGTGCTTGCAAGGAAAAGCCAGGGCTGGGGATTGCAAATGTAGATATTTGACCAGGAGAGATTTTTCAGAGCTTGTTTCTGTTATTTGTTCTAGCATATGTGCCAAGAAAAAAAAAAAAAAGGTATTCTGAAAGAACCTATACTGATGAGAGTGTTATGTTACAATCCTGATGTAATAATAAATGACTAGGGTATCTTCCCAAATAGCATGAAGTCTTCCAGTAGATTTTTAAAAATCGATTAAAAATAGCATTCATATAATAATAATTTTATGTATTATTCAGCCAATATGGTAGAAACCAACAGGAACTAGCATTGGACCTTCTTGGAGGAAAGCTTAATCTATTGATTGCTGAGAGCACAGGGGAAGCTGGGATAAGTAGACTCCTCACATTACACTGTGCACCTTGCAAGTCCTCAGGAACACTAAGCAGTAGTAAATGCTTTGAAGGTCAGAAGGGCTTCAAGTTTTGCTACCTTGGATCCACTCTTCAGGGTTGGTATTCAATACAGTGAGAGGATATCTTCACAGGTGTGTGGAACATGGTCCTTACCCACTTTTCCTAGTATTGCTTCTAGATGGAGAAAGAAAAAGAAACTGACAACTTCAATCAAAGTACTCCTGACATTTCACTGGATCAAAAGAAGAGCTCCACATTGCCCAGAGCAGTGGATTAGCCAAGATGTAGAGCCATGTTTATTAATGTTTTGTGTTTATTTACTTGCCATATCACTGGCTTATATGCTTAAAAAGTTCTTTGTTTTAAATGCAGGTGAATCAAAGTCATCTGAGCCAGAATTCAGGAGGCCTGTTGTCGAGAGGTAAGCAGTTGTTTTCCAGTGAATGTATTTTTCTTTTTAACAAACACAGAAAGCTTACTTTGGGTATACCATTTTCCAGTCAATGGAGAATTGTATCTGTTGTGAGATGGAAATGACTTATTTCTGCCTAAATGTCAACTTATTTTATATGGGAAAATACAGACAATAAATCTTCCCATGGGTCATGAATAACTTTTCTCCTCTTCAGCAAAGAACTGCCTTAAGTTATCAGACCAAGAATTTGTATTTCTCAAAAGAAGAAGCAAAAAAACAAAGACAAAAAAAATGCTTTCTGAGATTTAACCATCTTGTGGTGAAGAGAACATATTCAAGTAGTTGTTTTATGCACCTGTGTACTCTGTGACTCATTGTTGCAAATGCCAAGTTGCTATGCCATCTTCTTCTTCCATGCCGTGGGTTTGTGTCACTCAGCTTCCAAAAGCAGAGTGCTGTCTTGGAGACCATCATTTACCAATATAGCATGTACACTTTAGGACACTTTAAAATGCTTCAAGAGAAATATGTACTCAACTCAGCTGGTGCTCCCCCTCCTCCAAGGTTGTATATAGCATTTTAAAATTAGCCATTCCTAGTCCTCTTATTTATTTTTACCCTTTACTCTCAGGCTTCTTGCTAATCAAAAGAGGATTTGTGGGATGGAATGGCTAAATAGGAAGTGAATAGGATGCTGTTGGTAGCTGTTTTAGCTTTGATTTTGATTTTTGGCAGTCATATGTCATAATAAACAGTGATGTGCAGTAATGATCAGCATGCTCATTTGCACTTGCCAGTCAATAGCATGCACACGAGCATTGACTATTATGTGCCTGTGATATGCCAGCTTTAAACAGATGTGTATTCAGTTTATTCTAATTCTGAAAAAAAGCCAAATCATTCAACAGTACACTTAGAACATAGATGCCTTCTTTAGAAGGAGTCTGAAATCTCTTTTGTTCTCTCTCTGGTAATACTGAGTACATTTTTTTTTTTTTTGGTCTATTGTCCATACAGCTTCATTCAATGTGGCGGTTTCTTTTGCTGTAGTTGCATTTATTTTACAATGACTAATTTGTGAGGACTGAATGTAGCCTATTGTCCTCAAGGGACTTCTAGATGTAATTGAGATTCAACACTAATAATTAAATAAATGAGCTGCCACATTTTGAGAGAGGAAACACAGATCACAGGTATATCTTTTCTAACCATAGAGAAAGCAGTGGAGTTAGGCCTCACTGATCTTACATAGGAAAGTTGAGATCTCACTGTCTTCTGCTCTTGTCATGTGCCACATGATGATATTTTAATCAATAAGGGACACACACTACAGTGATCCTATAAGATTATAATATATCCAAAAAGTTCCAATCACCTAGTCATAGTTGTCATAATGTCCCAGTGCAATTGCTCACATGTTTGTGCTGATGCTGGAGCAAACATTTTAAGATACATTTAAACACACAAACACTCACTTTTATGTTACAGTTGTCTATGGTGTTGGGTACAGTACCATGTTGTACAGGTTTGTAGCCCAGAAGTGATACATACATGACATGTATACCACATAGCTTAAGTGTATAGAAGGCTATACCATCCAGGTTTGTGAAAGTGCACTATGGTATTCATACAATGCTAAAATAGCCTAACAACACATTTCTCAGAACAGATCCCTGTTATTAAGCAATATCCATCGCTATATTAGGTATTTAATGATGGAACCAGTAGTCCGGTACATCCTATACAACTGTGATGGTCACTGTGAGGAAAGTAATTTATTTTCACCTCAGGCCTTTCTGGATACCCCAAGGACCACCCAGACCTGAAAAGGTGAAATGGTCATTCTGTGGGCATACCTCCCCCACCTCTAATCAAAGAACAGGGGAACCGTATCCCAAAGCCACAGGGCCATGACTATAGGAAGACACAGCAGGCCCATTTGTAACTCTTTCAGGTAGCAGGGCTCTAGAGTGCTTTAACTAGGAATATAATTGGGACATTAATGTATGATATATGATATGTCAAGATCAATTTAATGTTTTGAGCAACTAATAAATTTCTGACATTTTAAAAAAAAGAACAAATAAGAGGGGTTGGGGGAGGTTGCTCAGTGATATACTTATGCTTGCCCTGGGTAGAAACCTAGGTAAAAAGAAAACAAACAGATTAGAAACCCCCAGGTCTCTGTATTGTCTCTCCCAGCAGAGCCAGACATAATATCATCTTGTGCTTTGTTGGTATTTTCATGAGAGATCCAGAGCCTTATGGCTGTTCTGCAAACTCTTCCTGCACTCATGTCAGTCTACCATGCTCCATTCACCTCTTTGGGTCACACAGACAGCATTTTGTTCCCATCCCCTAAGAATTGAGTGTGTGGGAGCTATTGACCCATGATATAAAAAAAAAAAACTGATGTTGATAATTTAAAGTTTTCCCAGCCCCTTTTGTAAAAGTAGGTCTCTAGGCCCCATGCTTCATCTTCTGTATTCACCAGAATCAGTGTTGGATTGATGTGGTTAGAATGAAAGGGGAGTTCAGCACTATTCTTTGTAGTACATTAGAGGGTGGGAATGAATACACAGAGAAAAACTAAGAAATAAAAACTCTTTGATAAAATGATATATGAGAAATTTCTCTAGTAATTTAAAAGTAAGAAATTTTTTTTAGTTAGTGGAAATTTGGTGTACTTTCTTCTGTTAGATAAGGAGAAATGTGTAATCCACAGTTTCTCTTTTTGCACTGACTTGTAGAAAACCCACTGGTACATTTAATTTCAATGCCAGCAACTGTATTAGCCTTTGAGCCAAGAATCTCTTTTCAGGACTTTGAATTTCTATTTCTATTTTAATAATTCTATTGCATCCAGGTGTGCTAAATCATTTCATTTAAGACCCCTTTTGGGAAGAGGCAACATACATATAGATAGGTATATAGAAAGGAAAGCCTTGTAGGTTACCCTGGTACCTCTTTTCCTTTATCCACAAGACAGATGAAGAGCCCATGAGCTGCACTTGTCAAATGATAGGGTTCACAATACTGAAAATAACTATTATAATACAAGGTAGAAAAACTATCTGACATTTGATAAGATGCATTTATTTTTACCCGAGGCATTGATGAGGTTGAAAATTTACTAACAGGAAAAGGTTCAAGGAGAGAGTGAAGAGCCATTGCTAGGGATGTTGTAGTGGGGATTCATTCACATAAAGGAGATGGACGGAATGACCTTCAGGTCCTTTTTGATCCTGAGTCTCCATGGTTCTGTGATTGGATTCTCAATGCCCACTCACAAAAGGAAGGCTTCAGCTTCAGGCCTCAATGATGAGCACATAAAGACTGTGTCGACTCCCATCACATCTCTTGGGATTTCAAAGTGCTGTCATCAAGGAGACATCTCAAATTATTGTGATAACACGGTATTGTCTCCTAAGATTATGTAGTTCTTGTATCTGCTTGTTGTTGAAATAATTGGTATGAAGCCTGCATCTGTAAAGGGGACTTAATATATAAAGGTTACATTATTATAGAAAAATATGAGGAAAATGTTATAGGAAAAAAATCACATGACATTCAAGAAAAAAAATATTTTTAAAATAGCCCCATGTTGTAAAAATGTCTGAAAGAGATTGCAAACCATTTTGATTTGAAAAATAGACTGAAATATAAAACCTGTATCTATAGAACTTCCTTTGAAAACTTTTTTAAATTCTCAAAATGTAGAAGGAAATGAATGGAAATAAAAATAAATAAATGCCCTGCATGGCTAATTCTTCAGAATGTAAATGTAAATTGAAGAAGTGCTCTAATCCTGACATTTATACTCCTCACTCAGAGTGGAGCACGTGGCCTAATGTGGTCTATTATTTATCAGTGAAATGTTTTTCTACAGGAAAGTGTTGACTAACACACTTCTTTAATATTCCTAGCCTGTCTCTTTTATTCCCCATGTGGAAAATTGTTATTTTTTTCCATTTTTGCATTTTAAAATGTCACTACCTACAAATCATTCCTGATGGTGAAGATAATCAACCTCAGAGCTTCACAAACACCTTTAAATCAAGGTATTTGAAGGAAAATATTCCTAACTGTGTGCTTCTTATGTGCTAGACACTTTTCTAAGAACTAGGGAACAAACATGAACTAAGCTAATTTCCTGCCTATGGTGCTTGCATCCAGCAGGAGAGGCAGGTAATTCTGTGGTATTTTGGTTGATTTTTTTTTTTTCACTACCGAGACTAAAAGATCTGACCAGAACAATTTTAGAGGAGGAAAAATTTATTTGGGGGCTCACAATTTCAGAGGTCTCAATCCATACAGAGCAGGCTCCATTCTTTGGGGCTGATGGAGGTGAGGCAGGACATCACAGGAGAAGAGGATGGTGGAGGGAAGTGGCTTATGCAATGATCAGGAAGTAGAGAGAGACTCCACTCACCATATACAAAATATATACCCCAAAGGCACACCCCCAATGATCCAACTTCTCCAGCTATACTCCACCCACCTCAGTTACCACTCAGTTAATCCCCATCACTACCTACATATTATTGGGCTAAGGTTCTCATAACCCAATCATTTCTTCTCTAAATCTTCTTGCATTGTCTCACACGTGTGCTTTTGGGGGATACCTCACATCCAAACCATAACTACTAGGATCCTATTATTATTACCGAAGCTACACAAACACATGGTGGCATCATCTCTCTCCGTCTCAGCACTGATCCTCATGCCTCCCACCACTCACACTTAGGCCTACTGGGTTCTCTGCTTATACCAGACCATTTCCTGGACAAGCATTTCAGGCCTGTGTACTTTGCTGCGTGCAGTAGAGTCTTCTTGGAATGTAGGTTATAGCCTACTTTTAGCTAATCTCATCTAGGCCAATACTTTAAATATTTTCTATACATCAGCAGCTCCCAGTCCTATAGTTCTGCAATGACCTTTCAGTTCATCTTGTATTTTTTTTGTATCCAAATATTTGGCATCTCTCCTTAGATTAATAGTACTTA